TGCCGGTCGGCCATGTTGGGCACACTCTGCTTCGGGGCAGTCTTGAGGCCCTCTTTGGGCTCCCCTGAAGTGCGAAGGGGCCCTTGACAGTGCCCGCGAAGCGCCAGGAAGGCACCAAGGGCGTCCCAGAGGGACCCCAGCACGGCGTGCAAGTGCACGCCGGTTTCTGTTGGCCCAAGACCTCTGGGCCCCAATGGGTGCCCCGAGAGACCCCAGAGAGCTGCAAGATGGCACCCAGGGGGCACGGGACTGACTTCGCTTAGGCCCCATGATCGATCTCCTGGGACCTTTTCTGGGGCCTTCTCGGGCCCCAGCCGAGAGGTCCAGAGAGCTCCAGAGGCCCATCTCAGAGCCCCAAGCACGACCGTCGCGGCCCATTGGGATGGCGCGTGTCTGGAGGTGCAGCCGAGCCGGATGGCAGGTGGCCCGGCACCGCCTCGCCAGGAGCGCCGCGCGTGGCCCTTTGGAGGAGGAGGAGGGCGGACGTTGCTTCGGGACCTCTTGAGAGCCTTCGGGGTGTCCCCATGAAATCCCGAAGCTGCCGTGGCCAGCGCCCGTGGGACGCCTGGAGGGCCCAAAAGGACTCCAAGCTTTCAGCGTTCAGTGAACTTGGTAGTCCTTCCCCATGTTAGGGAACCTCCCAGATCCTGGGATAGGGGTCGACATATCACCTGTTAGAGGGAATGAGCTTAGCATCTTCACGCACATAGCTGCGCTAAGACGTACAAGGCGCTCTGCCAGTACACCCGTTTAGTGTCAGGGACTGCGGACTGCTGCGTCGCAGGCTCGCGGCAGTACCTAACTCGTGGAGTCTTTCCCCTCCGCCTCTTCCTCCTGCGTGGAGCCGCGGCGCCCGCCTTCCGGCCCAGACGGGGGCATGGGGCGCTGAAGCCCTTGGCCATCTCATTCTGCCTTTCCTCACCGAGCGCGCTCCACTACCCGCAGAGTGCCCACTGGCAAACGTCCAAAGGAGACTGCTCGCCTCGATGCAGTGGAGCCCGTTTGCCTTGATGCAACGGACCCAGGCCACTTGCGAGTAGCCACTGTGCGAGTAGTGGAGCGCGCTTGTCTGAAGGGGCCCTGGGACACACAAATAAATACACAAATAACAGGAACCCCCATATTTTCCCATATTTTCTGGGTTTCTGTCTTCCCCCCACTTCCCATATTTTCCCATATTTTCTGGGAAATCGACGATTAGTTGTGTCTGTGTGCTTTTCCCCCTCCTGATTGTCTGTTTCCCCCCTGCAGCGTCTCCCTCCCTGGCGCCGCGGTGCCAGCCGGCCAGTGCCGGACGGGCTGGAGACGCCTCGGGCAGGGGAGCCGCAGCCCGCTCGAGCAGAGCCGAGGAGGAGGAGGAGGAGGAGGAGGAGGAGGAGGAGGAGGAGGGAAGAGAAGGAGGAGGAGGAGGAGGAGGAGCAGGAGGCGGAAGAGGAGGAGGAGGAGGAGGAGGAGGAGGAGGAGGGAAGAGGAGGAGGAGGAGGAGGAGGAGGAGGATGAGGAGGATGGAGGATGGAGGAGGAGAAGGATGGAGGAGGAGGAGGAGGAGGAGGAGGAGGAGGAGGAGGAAGACGGGATGATTCCGGATTTTCCGCTGGAGCATCTGGAATGCCACCCCAGGGTGTGGCCGAAACCCACAAGCGGGGTCACGGCATACGTTTCCCCGCACGGAGCAGTTTCTGCACGGCCGCTGGCACAAATGAGGGCTCTGTGGGCACCACGCCTCCCCATGATCTTCAGCAGGTAGCCGGTAATCAGCTTGCTGCCGTGCATCGGGTTTCGAGGATGTGGCCTTCTGCTGGCCAGCTTTTGGACTTCAACTTCTTGCAGTGGAGCGGTCTCCAGTATTTCTCTGCTGATGGTCTCATGCTTAGATCTGGTCGTAGGTGCTAGGCACCATTTAGCCTACAGCGAGCTTTGTAATCCTCCCCCTCATCCTCGCCCTCCCACGCCTCCTACTGTTTTTGCTTATTCTTATGTTCGCTATCCTCCTCCTCTCTCCCCTTCTCCTCCTCGTTCTCATCCGTTTCCGCTGCAACAGTTTCACGGATGAAGGGCGGGCCGCTTTTCAAAATGTGGTTCTCGCCTCAGCGCCGCGCACATTCGTTTTAGCAGCAGTTTCACGGATGGAGGGCAGGTCGTTCTCAAAATGTCGTCCTCGCCGCAGCGCAGCGCACATTCTTTTTAAATGTTTGCAGCAGTTGTAAGGCTTCGCACGGCTGAAGTCCCAAGAATAGCGTTCCGGCACGATTTAGATTTGTCTGGACGCGACAGTCGCGTGTTGTCGCGGTGTCGATGTCCCAGGAATGGCGTTCTAGCACGATTTCGAATTATCAGGATGCAACAGTCGTTCCGATCTGCGGCGTTGAAGCCCCAGGACTGGTGTTTTGGCACTGCTCAGTGTTCTCAGACCTTTCTCTTTCAATGGGGCATTCCCCGAATAGAATCCCATTCTTATAGTGGCCTTCGAAGAGGGCGCTTCGAGGGAGGGTTTGCTGCAGCATGGACTTGCGCTGGTTTGGTATGCACTAGGGTCGACGCGTCTCGGGCTCGCACTGGTCGTCCTTCTTCGCATCATCCCTGTCCACCTCAGCTCCCTCTGCATCCCCACCACGGTCCTCGTCGCTCCCGGCTCTCGAGGCAAGCGCACGCTCCTGGAGCAGCGCGCACTCATCCAGGGCGAGGTGGCGCGCCTCTCCGGGCAGTTTGTCGCCACCGCCGCCCAGAAGCAGGCGCCCTCCAGCGCGCGTCCCCGGCCCTGCGCCCTTCGGCATGCTCTCGGGCGCTTGCGTGGCGTCAGCCCGCGTATCCTCCTCCTCCTCCTCCTCCTCCTCCTCCTCCTCCTCCTCCTCCTCCTCCTCCTCCTCCTCCTCCTCCTCCTCCTCCTCCTCCTCCTCCTCCTCTCCGTAGCCATTTTGGCTCAAGATGCCCGCACTTGGGGGCTCCGCGCCTCCGTGCCAAAATCTGAGCTGCCAGAGCAGCACTGAGTTCTCGGAAATTTCGGGAGATTCGCACCGCCCATCTGCCAGCGCAGTTGGGATTAGAGCTCCCTCTCGTTCAGTCTATCAGTCATGGCGCCGCGCCCATTCTCATGGTGCACCTGCGGCAACTGGACGTACAACTTCCGCCTGCTGCACAACGGCGGTTTCTGTGGCAAGTGCGGGGAGCAGGTCACACTTTTCAAGCCTGACGCTGCAGCGGCGAAAGGCAACGGCAAAGGTAAGAAGGGCATTCACAGTTACAAAGGCGGCAAGGGCGAGGACAAGTCGGCGTGGCACTTCGGCAGTGGCAAAGGCACGCACCCGTGGTCCAAGGAGCCTGACATCTCGCAGATGCTCAGCATCCTCTCGAACGTCCCCGCCCTCGCCGAGCACGCCGACGTCTTCCGCCAGGCGGACAGCTCCTTCAAGGCGAGCAAGGCAAAGCCGGTATCGCCCAACCAGGAGGTCTACCGCTGCAGCCAGACCATGGAGAAGAAGGAGATGGCTCTCCAGAAGGCCTCGGCAGACGTCATCAAGCTGGAGTCGGCACTCCAGGAGGCCAAGCTGTGGCTCCGCCAGACGGCGGAGGAGGCCCTCTCCGCGAAGCGGGCCCACACGCTGGCGGTCAAGGCCCTCGCCGACTCCACGGGCGCCGCCAAGACGCAGGACGGCTACACCGCGGACGGCAAGAAGATCTACCTCGCGATGGATGAGTTCGACTTCGCTACCAGCGATGAGTTCGACGACGCGCAGAAGGCCCAGCTCAAGGCCATCCAGAAGCAGGTGGAGGAGCACTGCAAGAAGGTGGAGGACCTCCAGAAGACCATGCAGGAGGCGCTCAAGAGCGTCAAGGAGATCCGAGCTGCCCCTGCGAAACGGCAACGTGGTCAGGACGGCCCCGTCCCTGGTCCTGGCGCAGCAGAAGCTGAAGGCCCCGACGAAGACCAGGCACATGCTGCGGAGGACGGCCCCACCATCGCAGTCTCAGAGAGCGACATCGCCGCCAAGATCGCGAGCGCCAGGGAGGCCACGCTGGCCAGCATGGGCGACTTCCCTCCCCTGGGCACTGGCACTGGTGCTAGGAGCTCTCGCGATGGCGCGCCCAGAGCTGCAGCTGCGGCCGCGCAGCGAGGGTGACCTACCCATCGGCCTGGGAGGAGGAGGCCACCCGAGGCCAGGTGACACCCCTCAGCCGCCCCTCCCACCACAAGGCCTCCCCTGCAGTCGGGCCCTCGTTCCAGAGAACTACGATGCGACGTACTTCTTCTCGAACATCTCGGAGTGGGGCCCGCAGGCGGAGGGGTTCATGAAAGCCCAGGCGGAGCAGTGCGACGTCATAGGATTCGCGGAGATGCACCTGCGAGGCGTGAAGGTCCTGGACTTCACAGAGAAGATCAGCAAATAAGGATGGAAGGCCGCCGTCACCGCCGCAGCACCGTCGGGAAGGGCAGCCGAAGGTACGACGGGCGGCGAAGCCATCATATCCAAGCGTTCACTGGCCACCACGACGTTCGAGGGGTGGCGCAAACACGAGATCGAACGGTCTGCAGTCGACCCCTTTCAAGGATTTTGCCCGACGACATGGCACACGAAGGCTGGCAACATCGTCGTCATCTCCGCGTACATGCAGCCGAAGCACGGCTTCAAGGGCCCCAACGAGAAGATGATGATCAGGCTAGCCAGCTTCATCAATATGATATCCGACCCGTGGGTTGTCCTCGCCGACTGGAACAACCCACCAGAGGCATGGGAAGGAACCAAGTGGCTGCGCAAGATCGGCGGCCACCTCATCCTCCCTGAGAACACGAAGACCACCTGCAACTTGGGGCGCGGGTCCCTCATTGACTACGGGATCTGCAAGAGCGGGTTCGGCGGCTCCCTCAAGCTCGAAGCAGTCCCTGATGTCCCCTGGAAGACCCACGTGGGACTACTGCTTTCCATACGAGCGGGGAAGCAGCACTGGCGGCACAGAGCTATGTGTATACCCAAGCAGCTCCCGTCGGCGGGACGACCAGCCAAGAAAGCGGACCCGAACAGCAAGCGCCAGAAGTTGCTAGCCGAGCGGCACCAGCGGGCAAAGGCCAGACTCCAGGAGGAGCTACAGGACGCATACGAGGAGCTCCACAGCTGGCCAACCACGCAGGACGCACACAGCAACGACTCGATCGCCTTCGATATACCGATTGAGGTGTGGCACTCGGCAGCCGCTGCGGTGGCAGGACTGGGAGAGGGCAAAGGCAAACACGTGAGGAATCACTCGAACGACGACCAGGACAACTACCCCTCCTCCCACTTCCTGCTGACCCGTGACATTGAGGCGCAGAAGAAGGTTGCCAAGGCGTTCGGCGACTGGGTGCAGACAGTGGAGAAGGCCACGCTCAAGCACCACAACATTCCCGAGACCGGTTGGAAAAAGTATGAAAGCAGAGCCAGAGAGCATGGGATCACTTGGCGAAGAACCCGTGCTACACCAGCCCGTACACACATGCGGGACCCAATCGTGGAATGGTGGCATCTGGCAACGACGATTATCTCCAGATATCAGCTAATGAGGCGCAAGTTTGCAGAGCAGGACTACAAGCGCACGGCAATAAAAATGCAGGAGCTGCTACACATTGCCACCGAGAACAACTTCTTCGACAAGTACAACGACCCAGAGGACAAGAGGACCCTGGAGGAGTGGACTAAGGCCATCCTCGACTTAGACGGGCAGAACATCGACTCGCTGCAGGCCCTACTGGAGTTCGGCCTGAGGTTTCAAGCCCGCGCGGTGGGTACTGGGCTCGCCAACGGCAGGCGCGCGTTTGCAAGCTGGGTCACACGCATGTGGAAGCAGGCTCCAGGTGCGTTACACCGACATGTGAAGCCAGCTACTACTCGACGAGACGAGCACTTCAGTGACGAGGGCAACACCTATGCCACACCCTGCGAGATCATGGACCGCAGAGCTGACTTCTGGGAGAACATCTGGTCCGACCCCAGCTCCGACCACAAGAGTATCCTCGACGGCCTCAAGTTCGTCACGGAGCAAGCCAAGAGGGAGGACGTGCACCCGATCGAGCTGGAGCACCTGGACCACCTGCTGGCGAAGCAGAACCCCAAGAAGGCCAGAGGAGTCGACAACCTCGGCCCGCTGGAGGTGCAACGACTCCCAGAGCCAGGACGGAGGCAGATGGTGGAGGTCCTCAATCTTTGCGAGAACCACCTCATGTGGCCTCATCAGATTTTCACGGTCATAGGTGCGGTCGCCCCCAAGCCCAAGGGGGGCGACAGGATCCTGGGGTTGCTTCCGTACACGGTGAAGGTTTGGTCCAAGCTCCGCTACCCGTTGAGTGAGAGGTGGAGTGACAAGCTGGGCGAATTCTGGGACACGGCCATCAAAGGGAGCAGCCCGCTTCAAGCCTCGCTGGCGAGAGCCTGCATGGACGAGTGCTGCTTCACGATGGGCATCAGTTGTGCGACAATCCTTCTAGATTTGGAGAAGTTCTACGACAGCATCTCCATCGCAAAGCTCTGCCAAGCTGGACTCAGGCAGGGCTTCCCCGCAGTCATCCTCGCAATGGAACTACAGATATTTCTTGCCCCCAGGTACCTCAAGGAGCGCCAGTGGATCAGCAGGCCGATCAAGATCGAGAAGTCACTGGTGGCAGGATCTCCACACGGCGGCAAATTAGCAAAGATACTATTGGGCCCTATCCTTCAGAGGGCTCACGACAAGTACCAGTTCAACATCATGATGAAGACACTCGTGGACGACACGATCATTCGCTGCGAGGGCACGGCCTACAACGTCGAGACCACATTGGTCCAAGCTGGCGCCTCCATCGGCCACGACATGCAACACGAGGGCCTCACGATCAGCCCCAAGACGGTCGTTGTCGCCAGCACGAGCAGCATCGCCAACAAGGTGGCCCGAGCACTTCGGAGAAAGGTCATTCGGGCAACCTCAGCACAGGCTGCCACAGACTTGGGGGCCGATGTCGCTTCAGGACGGGCTCGCGCCAGGGCCACAGCGCGAAGGAGAATGACGAAGGCTAGCAGACGGTCGGCAGCCATCCACAGAATCAGGAGAATCGCCCGATTGAAGAGAGAATCACAAGGTCTCTGGAGTACTGGTGCCTTGCCGTCTGGGACCTACTCACATCAGCATCACGGGCTCCCTGAATATGAAGTGCTGCGCCTCCGACGCCAAGCGGCTGCTGCCGCTTCGGGCGTGGGACCAGGAAGATGCTTGACGTCGGCGCTGGCTATCGAGTACGGGGATGACGACCCTGCCAAGCGCATCAGGCGTCAGCAGATCGCAGCGTGGCTGACCTTGTGGCGCCAGTGCCCAGGCATCCACGACAAGATTCGGCAATCCTGGGACAAGATCCTCGACCGCATACGAAAGGCTGGCCAACGCAAGTGGAGGATCGTCCGTGGCCCAGTGGGGGCAACTATTGCCACCCTCCTCGAGATCAACTGGGACCCGATCGCGGCGACCCAGTGGGGCACGGACGCAGGTAAGAGCTGGCTCATTCCTGCAAGAGAGGACGAGGACTTCAAGAAGTTGAATGCGGACTACTCGGAGATCTTCAACGACATCAACAGCTCAGTGGACAGAGTTCTCTGGACTCGGGCTTCGAAGCACGAAGCAGGTGACGACCTACACAGCGGAGGCGACTTCAGCACGATCAAGCAGGAGAACCGCCGACTCGCCAGGAGGGAGCAGCATAGCGAGATTGCACTCAACACGGTGGTCACGACAGGTGGCCAGTGGACACGTACGCGAATGTTGGCCGCAGGATACGAGGTTTCCCCCACATGCCCGAGGTGTGGAGAACAGGACGAGTCGCTGTTCCACAGAATTTGGACCTGCGCGGCCAACTGCAACCACGACGACTACACGGACAGCGAATTCCTCACCGCACAGGCGTTCGCCAACTACGAGGCCTCTCCGTCCCTCTGGCTTCGAGGCGTTCCTGCGGCTGCCGACACCATACCTGTCTTCGACGAGGCCCCACCCATCACGAACAGTTTCGGAGACATGTCGACAATCCCACGTGATGAGGAGGGGTTCGCTGAGATTTTTGGAGATGGGTCGGGCGGTGAGCATAGCAGTGACTGGCGTCGCAGACGCGCTGGTTTTGGATTTGTTTCCCTTTCCTCTGGCAGCCTGGACCCGATTTTCGGCTTTTCGTCCTCCCTTGGAGGGAGGGTCCAGACGGTCCCGAGGGCCGAGCTCTCTGCCTGTCTCGCCGCCCTAGAGCTGATCCCAGGGAACATCCGATATATGACGGACCACCTGGCCCTGGCCCAGGCCTGGTCCAAAGGAGTCCCGCTCCTCCTCGCTTCCTCGACCCCTCCTGCGAACCTCGACCTTTGGACCAGGATCCTGGAGGCAGCAGGAGACAGAGTAATTCGTGTGATTTGGATCTCTGCCCATGTCGAGGCTAGGGATGTGAATTCCGAGGAAGCGTTTCGGTATGCGGTAGGCAACGCGTGTGCCGACGCACTCGCAGGCCTAGGCGCCCAAGCGAGCAGGCGCTGCGGCCTCACGAATCCCGACACCGACCGCCGCGATGCCGAGGCCGCCCTGGTCAGACGTCGAGCTCGGAGAGCTCTGGTTGCGAGCATCCTGGCCGATCCGTGGACCGCGTCTCGACCCGTGGTCCCTGGGGTCCTGCGGCTTCCCATCCTGACCAGGTGTCTTCGGGCCAGCGAGCATCAGTGGCGGAAGGTGGGTTCTAAGTTTTTCTGTCTGGTTTGCTCCCAGTTCGAGACCAGGGAGTCCATCCGATCTGGGAGCCTCTCGCGGTGCTGCCCCAAGCCCCGTGGCCAGGGCATCTCACCGCTCCACGGCCCACAGATTGTCGCGGGGAAGTTGCTCTGTGCAAGCCACAAGCTTTCCTTCTGGGGCCGTTTTGGTTTAACGTTTTGTACTGTTTGTGGCAAGACCGCCACGTCCGACCCAAGGTGGTTGGTGGAAAGATGCAGGGCCTCCCCCAAGGGTGCGCAAAATCTCGCGAGGATCGCCCGAGGTTTATACCCGCACGTGGGGGGGCCCCCGCAGCACGTCCGTGATGCAGAGATTTCACAATTCACTTACTAACTCGTCTGGTTTTGCCCAGTTTCGAGGGCCCCGCTGGTGGCGTAAATGGCAAAGTGATGCGACGCCCCTCGGGAGGCCGAGAAAAGATCACGAGCGCCATCCAGCGGGGTCCTGATTATATAGGCGTCGACTGTCGTTGTCGCCCGCCATGCATAGTCCATGCATAGTCCTCCTCCTCCTCCTCCTCCTCTTCCTCCTCCTCCTCCTCCTCCTCCTCCTCCCTCCTCCTCCTCCTCCTCCTCCTCCTCCTCCTCCTCCTCCTCCTCCTCCTCCTCCTCCTCCTCCTCCTCCTCCTCCTCCTCCTCCTCCTCCTCCTCCTCTTCCCCCCGTTCACCTCCCAGCCGAGTATTCATAGCAGAGCACGGAAAGCAACAAGCTCGCACATTTCAGCAGCTTCACTCCAGTGGCCCACACAGTCGCGCGCCAGGGGCGGTGCCGGAGGTGCCGCCGGGCGGCCCCTGCGCCGATCCGAGAAATCCGCGAGGACCTCCGAATTGTTCTGCTGGCATCGTTGCTTCTTCCCCGACAGAGGGCCGCGGCGCCCGACGCACCGTCCAGAACCGCCAGGCCTCGGAGGGCCCCGGACTCCTCCCTGTCCGACTCTGTCCTCGCCCCGGCCCCGGCTCGCTGGAGGAGCTGGTCGATCGGGGGTGGATAGACCTCCTACCCTGACACGTCGATTAAGGAATTGGCCGTTTTCGGTTCGCGAGGGGGCGTCGCGGCCGTCGTTTTTGCGGGTCCAGGTCCGTCGGTTTCGGCCCCAGGTCGTTTTCACTAAGGGGAGGTCTACTAAAGGGAGGTTTGTCCACCGCCGAGCCGGTGTTGGGCCGAGTCTCGATCTGTTCTAGACTAGATCGTGACCTAGTCCGTTCGGGCTGGCCCGTGCAGCCACCCTCGGCCCCTCCAGGGCTCCGCGCGGCCTCGCCGCCGCCGCCCGCGCCGCCGCCGCGCGGTGGCAGAGGCCCTCGGGGAGCAGCGCGCGGAGCTGGGCGCGGCGGTGGCGGCCCTGCAGGCCGCGCCGCGGCCCCCCGCGACGCATGGGCGCGCGCCCGCTGCGGCCTCGGCGGCCTCCGCGGCAGGGCCTCGGCGGCCCTCGGCGGCGGCCGCCGGCGGAGCTCGCGGCCCTCGGCGGCCGTCCGCAGGGCCTCGCGGCCATCATCAGGAAGGGAAAAACACAGAGACACAAGTCATCGGCGACTCCCCGAAAACATGTTTGAAAATATGGGACGTGGGGGGGGAGGCAAAAACCCAGAAAATATGGGAAAAGATGGGGGATATTTTTATGTGTGTGTATTTTTTTGTGTGTCCCAGTTCCCCTTCACATTAGGAGCACGCTGCCGAAGAGCAGCCGGGGAGCAGACAAGGGCAGAAGCACGAAAACTCGGCGGTCCGCGCGGGGTCCTCGGATCGGCGCTGGGGCCCCCTGGCGGCGCCTCCGGCGCCGCCCCTGGCGCGCTCCGCGCGCCAGGGAGGGGGGTCCAACTCGGATCAGGAATCCGCGAGGACCTCCGAGTTTTTGTTGTTTACCCGAGATCAACAAATCTCGGGCGCGTCCAGGGGGGTGGGGTGATGACTTGGGGGGGGTGTCAAGGCCAGGGCCATGATAGCTGCGCGGGTTTCATGGCCCCCCCTTCTCACTTCGAAACGCCCTTTGCCCCCCCCCACCTCCCACCCTGGGCCACGTGCGTGCCATGGGCCACGATGCGGACTCTCCGCCCCCCCCTCTTCGTGGCCCCCCTCTTGGGCGTACCCGACGAGTCTGATGGCTCCCTCTGCCCTGCGGGATCACCGAGAGCAGATGCTTCGTCATTGAAGGCGAGCTCTCCGCCTTCGGCGAAGCAACGCCCTCCGTAGCAGGCCTACCCTCAGTGCGCTCGTTGACGGCCCAGCTCTGGCCACGCCGGTGGGAGTACGTTTCGAGGATCGAGGTTCGAGGATCGAGGTTCGAGGATCGGTGTTCGAGGATCGAGGATCGAGGTTTTCAAGCTTCGAGGATCGAGGATCGAGGTTTCGAGCTTCGAGGATCGAGGTTCGAGGATCTGTGTTTTCAGGCACTCTTCGCCCCTGCTGGGTCTCCGGGGGCTTCTCGTCGCCACGGCTGGACTCTCCTCGAGTCAGGAGGGGAAAAACACACAGACACAATTAATCGTCGACCCCCAAGAAAATATGGGAAAATATTGGAACTGGGCGGGAGGACAAAAACCCAGAAAATATGAGAAAATATGGGGCATCATTTTATTTGTGTGTATTTATTTGTATGTCATTGTGCCCCTTGATCGAGAGCGGTTGAAAAGTATCGAGGTTTTGAAGCATTCTTGGCCACTAAGGGGGCGAGGGACTCGATGAGAAACCAAGGACACCCTGACCCGAGAAGTTTCTTGCCGAGTCGCGCCAGGGATATTCTGAGGCAACGGTTGGGAAGAGGCTCAAGGTTGTTCGGAAAGCCAGCTGGTATTGCGACAGCGCTCCAGCCGAATGAGAATACCTGCTTGGGCGCCCCGAAGAAACCTGAGACTTGCTTCTTGTCGCCGCATGCGCCCAATTGCAAGCCTAAGCCATCCAAGAGATCGAACATGGCGCGCCCCCATCCAGGATCGCGCTTTCGCGTTGGATTTCCTCGCGATGTATTGAATATGCAGCCGTTGTTGTAACTCGGGGGCCAGGGGCCGAGCTTGGTGACACTTCATTTTCCTTCCTGCAAAAACAAAAACATGATGTGAGCCGCAGGAGAAGCACTTTACTTGAAACATATAATGGTTACCCTGCGGGGGGACCAACATTCATTATTACTTGGGGATGAGAATTCAACAACAACAACAACAACAACAACAACAACAACAACAACAACAACCACAACAACCACAACAACAACAACAACAACAACAACAACAACAACACCAACGACAACAAGTACCATGTGACGCATCCCACCCATGTGTACCAAGGGACACGAGGAGTTTGCCCAAACGTGCCAGGACAATGGCAGTGCAGGCGCCGTCATATGTTGTGCAAGCTCAACGGGATGCGCTCACGTGGCACGATTCACAGGGCAACAACAGAAGGACGAGAAACGAGGGCCCAGGTTTGAGGAGGACCGGGGGCGGGAGCGAAGGGCAGGAGAGGGACGCGCGGGAGGCCGAACCCTCACTGCGGCAGCAGCAGAGGGAAGGCGGCAGAGGGCAGGGGGCGACGACGAAAGTGACGCGAGGAGACCGAAAAGTGCTGCTTGTGTCGGTCGGACGCCAAAGGTGCAGCGGTGTCTGCGCCCTGTCGCCGCGGCGCTCGGAAGAATGATTATAGCTGCTCATAGCTGGTGCAAAAAGCGAGCGAGGCCCAGCTCGCCGCCAGCTTCTCTGTACCTTTCGTGACGACCCCGGAACTCGAAACAACCCGTACGTAACAGAAAAAAGGCGTCACTCCGTCGGACCCCAGGGATGGCGAGGTCTCCTGGTGGTCCGCGTAAGACGTCACGCCGCCAGACCCTCCAGCAGTTCCGCAGATCGCAGCCGCCCCAGGGATGGCGAGGTCTCCTGGTGGTCCGCGTGAGACGTCACGCTGCTGCACCCCCCACTAGCCTTCGAAAGCGGCGTCAGTTTCGCAGGTCGCAGCCCCCCAGGGATGGCGAGATCTCCTGGTGGCCCGCGTCGGACGTCATTCCGCTGGACGCCCCAGCAGCCCTCGAAAGTGGCCACCGTTTCGCAGATCGCAGACCCGCAGGGATGGCGAAATCTCCTGGTGGCCGCGTGAAACGTCAGTCCGCTGGACCCCCAACAGCCCTCGAAAGTAGCGACAATTTCCCAGGTCGCAGCCCCGCAGGGATGGCGTGGTGAAGTCTCATCTGAATCTGCGCAGCACGTCACTCCGCTGGGAACCCCATCGGCCCCCGAATGTGGTGACCGTTTCGCAGATCGCAGCCCCCCAGGAATGGCGAGGTCGAGCCTGAATTTGCATAGCACGTCACTCCGCTGGGCCCCCAACAGCCCTCGAAAGCGGCGACTGTTCCGCAGATTGCACTCCCCAGGGATGGCGAGGTCTAGTGCGAATCGGCGTAGCACCCCATTCCGTTGGACCCCCCATCACCCCCCGAAAATGGCGACAGCTTCGCATATCGCAGCCTTCCAGCGACGGCGAGGTCAAAATTGACTCCACGTAAAACGTTACCCCGCTGGACACCCCAGCAGCCCTAGTTTCGAAACGGTGTCGCAGATCGCAACCACCAGAGATGGCGAGTCCAGCAGGGTGACGCGCTGTGCAGATCCATCGTAGACGTCAAGTGGAGCGACGTATTACCCAGACTCATAGTAGACCTCACCATCCATGTGGGTGCTGCGATATGCGAAACTGCCGCCACTTCTAGGGGCTGCTGAGGGGGGTCAAGCGGAGCGATGTCTTACGCGGAGTCAATTCAGACCTCGCCGTCCTTGGGGGGCTGCGATCTGCGAAAAATGTCGTCAGTTTGGAGGGTAGCTGGGGGTCCAGCAGAGTGACGTCTTACCCAGACTCAAAATATACCTTTGCGAAACGGTCGCCGCGTTCGAGGGCTGTTGGGCCGTCAAGCAGACTGACGTCTTACGCGGGTTCAAAGTTGATGACCTGGGGGGCTGCGATCAGCGAAAATCTCGCCACGTTCGAAGGCTGCTGGGGTGTCCAGCAAAGTGGCGTCTTACGAGGATTACAATTCGACCTCGCCATCTTTGGGGGGCTGCGATTTGCCAAACTGCCGCCACGTTCGAGGGCTGCTGGGGGGGTCCAACGGGGTGGCGCCTTACGCGGATTCAAATTAGACCTCGCCATCCTTGGCGGGCTGCGATCTGCGAGCTTGCCGCCGCGTTCGAGGGCTGCCGGGGGGGGAGTCGGCGGAATTGCGTTTTGCGCGGGTTTAGATCCGACTTCGCCATTTCTGGGTAGGTTGCTGGGGGGTCCAGCGGAGCGACATCTTACCCAATTTCAAATTAGACTTCGCTACACCTGGGGGGCGACTGCTATCTGCGAAAGTGTCGCCACGTTCGAGAGCTGCTGAGGGGTCCAGCGGAGTGGCGCCTTACCCAGGTTCAAAGGAGACCTCGCCATCCTTGGGGGGCTGCGATGTGCGAAACTGGCACCACTTTCAAGGGCTGCTGGGGGGTCCAGCGGAGTGACGCCGTACCAAGATTCAAATTAGACTTTGCCACCCTTGGGAGGGGGGGCTGCGTTCTGAGAAATTGTCGCCATTTTCGAGGGCTGCGGGGGGGTCCAGCGGAGCGACGTTTTACTTAGGCCCAGGTTGGACCTCGCCATCCTTGGGGGGGGAGCTGCGATCTGTGAAACTGTCGCCACTTCCGAGGGCGTCTGGGGGGTCCAGCGGAGTTACGCCTTACCCATATTCAAATTTGATGTCAACATCCTTGGGGGGTTGCGATCTGCGAAACGGTTGCCACTTTCAAGGGCTGTTGGAGAGGTCCAGCGGCGCGACGTCTTACCCAGTTTCAAAGTAGACCCCGCCAGCCTTGGGGGGCTGCGATCTGCGAAACGGTCACCATGTTTCGAGGGCTTCAGGTGGGCCCATCGGAGTGACGCTTTACCCAGACTCAAACTAGACCTCGCCATCCCTGGGGGGCTGCGATCTGCGAAACGGTCGCCACTTTCGAGGGTTACGGGGTGGTCCAGCGGAGTGACGTCTTACCCAGATTCAAAGTAGACCTCGCCATCCCTGGGGGGCTGCGATCTGCGAAATTGTCGCCATTTTCGAGGGCTGCTGGGGGTCCAGCAGAGTGACGTCTGACCCAGATTCAAAGTAGACCTCGCCATCCTCGGGGGCTGCGATCTGCGAAATTGTCGCCGGCTTCCAGGGCTGCTGGGGGTCCATCGGAGTGACGCTTTACCCAGATTCAAACTGGACCCCGCCATCTCTGGGGGGAAGTGATGTGCGAAAGTATCGCCACTTTCGAGGGTTGCTGGTGGGCCCAGCGAAGTCACATCTTACCCATACTCAAAGTAGACCTCGCCATCCTTGGTGGGGGTGCGATCTGCGAA